GGGGGGGGGGGGGTAGTGGGGGGCGGGGGGGGGGAGGGGGGGGGGGGTTACTGGGAGGGACTGGGGGGGTTACTGGGAGCACTGGGAGGGACTGGGATGCACTGGGGGGCTACAATACAGGTTTCTACTTGGAGGCTATTGGTCTATACTGGGCCTCGGTGGTCTATACTGGTCTGCACTGGGGGTTACTGGTCACTTGTTTGATGTCACCCATGCTGGTGAAGCCGCTATGGGCCATGCTGGTGGCGCTGGGGGGGGTTACTGGGCCAGTTCGTGGTCTATACTGGTCTGTACGGGTCTATACTGGTTTATACTGGTCTATACTGGCCTGTACTGGGGGTTACTGGTCACTTGTTTGGTGTCACCCATGCTGGTGAAGCCACTACAGGTTGCGCTGGGATCGCTGTGGGGGGGTTCCTGGGCCAGTTCGTGGTCTATACTGGTCTGTACTGGTCTGTACTGGTCTGTACTGGTCTGTACTGGTCTCACCGGATGTCGTCCTCGTTGGCGAAGAGGACGACGCCGCGGGCGGTCGACGTCTCCATCAGGCGCCCAATCACCTTGGTGAACTCCCCCGGGCGCGGCTCCCGCGGGATCTTGATGGACTGGGCGATGCACAGGCCCCCTGCACCAGTACAAACCAGTACAAACCAGTACAAACCAGTACAAGCCAGTACAAGCCAGTACAAGCCAGTACAAGCCAGTATAAACCAGGACCGCCCCTCCCCCCCGAGACCCCAGTTATGCGCCAGATGGCAACACCATCCCCACACCTTGCAGAGCCCTCCCAGTATATCCCAGTGCCTCCCAGTATATCCCAGTGCCTCCCAGTATGGCCCGGTGCCCCTCCCAGTATGGCCCAGTCCCCTACTGGTCTCAGGAAGGTGTCCCACTGGTTTCCATCAAAGGTGAGGGTGGAGCCCACCCTCCCAGTGCTCCCAGCATGGCCCAGTGCCCCCTCCCAGTGCTCCCAGTATACCCCAGTGCCCTTCCCAGTACAACCCAGTCCCTTACTGGTCTCGGACGAAGGCGTCACCACCTCTCCCACTGGAGTTTCCCTTCAAGACCAGAGTGGATCCCTCCCTCCCAGTGCCTTCCAGTGCCTCCCAGTACATCCCAGTGCCCCTCCTAGTGCTCCCAGTGCCTCTGCCAGTGCTCCCAGTGCCTCCCAGTATATCCCAGTCCCTTAAAGGTCTCATCCAAAGCCATCACCCCCTCTCCCACTCCCTTTACCACGATGCATGAGGTTGGATCCCTCCCTCCCAGTGCCTCCCAGTGCCTCCCAGTGCCCCCTAGTCCCTCCCGATACATCCTAGTGCCCCTGCCAGTGCTCCCAGTCCAACCCAGTCCCTTACTGGTCTCAGAGAAAGCTATTACCCTCTCTCCCACTCCCTTTACCACGACGCATGAGGCTGGATCCCTGCCTTCCAGTGCCTCCCAGTGCCTCCCAGTATATCCCAGTGCCTCTCCCAGTGTTCCCAGTACCTCCCAGTCGCTCCCAGTGCCTCCCAGTCCAACCCAGTCCCTTACTGGTCTCATCCAAAGCCATCACCCCCTCTCCCACTTCCTGTACCATGACGTATGAGGCTGGATCCCTGCCTCCCAGTGCCTCCCAGCGCCTCCCGGCGCCTCCCAGTGCCTCCCAGCGCCTC